TTCTGCTACACCATTTTGTTGTGGAGTGTATGTACAACTGCTCTGATAGATAACTCCATGCTCCAATAGGTATGATGCCAGGTTTTTTTCAAAGTATTCACTAGCATTGTCTGATCTAAACACTTTCACTCATACCCCAAACTGTGTCAGCACCATCTGATGGAATTGTTGAACCAAAAACAGTACCTCATCACAGGATCTCATCAAATATATCCAAGAGTACCAAGAATAATCATCTATAAATAGAAGAAAATACAGATAGCCACCCATAGAGGAAACATGGTATGGCCCCCACACATCAGTATGAACAATATCAAAAACATAAAAACATCTTTTATTACTTACTTTAAAGGAATGTCTACAATGCTTTCCATGTTGACAGCCCTCACACTCCAAACTAGACAAACTGACAAACTCAAACAATTTGGAAAATAAAAAATGCAAAGAAGCAAAAGACAAATGTCCTAATCGATTATGCCAAAGCATAATCTGACGCACTAGCTTTGACACAACTCCTACTGACATGATGACTCTAATGACTGGGAAGCGCATCAAAAAGATAGATCCCATTCACCTCGCGACCACTCCCAATCATCCTATTTGATTCCAAATCCTACAAAACACAATGACCAGGGGAAAAATCACAGAACAATTCAAATTCTTAGTCAAGCTACGCTACTAACAGATAAAAGATCAGTGCTCAGTCTAGGAACATTAAGGACAAAAGGTGGTAATGGTATCAGTTATCCTGACAAACCCTTTCCCAGCAATGGGAACATGTGGTCCATCAATTGTGGAAACTCTATCTCTACCAGAGCAGAGGTGGTATGAGGTGAAAATGGTGGAAATGTTGGTCATATGTTCTAAGGCTCCTGAGTCTATAATCTAGAGAGGTCCCCCCTTACTTGTAGTGGATACATAATTTGCAGTGGCATGTGAACTACTTGTGTGCAAATGAGGTAGAATGACTACCTCTTGATCCTCTTCCACCTTGTTGTCCACCTGATAATGAGTTGGAACTGGTTGTATCCTTCTGATTCATAAACTACCCATATCTCTCCAATTCGGCCCTCACTGTAGCTGTTGCAACAGACTCTAGAGAGGCTGTAGTAGGTGGCCCTGATAAATCACTAGTCATTGCCATATTCACATTTCCCTTCTTATTTCTGAGTTGGCTCGGTACAAGGTGTGGGTAAAGCTTCCAACAGGTATCTATGGTATGTTTGGGTTTCTTACAGTAGTCACAGATCGAATCCCTTTTGTCCTCCTTTCTCGATTCATTTCCACCCTTGTCCCCACTCGGCTTAGGCTGACTATGCTAACCATAGCTGGCTGCTCAAGGCCTAGGTTCTTCATCATCACATTTCTCCTACTCTCCTCTCCAAACACAAAGGCATATGCCTAAGAGAGAGTTATACTGTCTCGGGAAAGAATACGTTATCATGCAATATCATACTCAGGGTTAAGTCAAGCTAAAATCTCAAAAACCCTATTCTTCTCTACCATCTTCTGATAAGTTATTGCATCTTTTCTATTTTCCCAAACCATAGTCTCCAAATGATCTATCTCCTGCCATAAGGTTTTGAGGGCTGAAAAATAAATAGCAACAGACTTATCTCTCTGCCTAGTAGTAATCACATGGTTTCTCAACTAATAGGCTCTAGCAGTGTTCTCATTTTGTGAATAGGTTTCTACTACTCCATCCCAAATCTCCTTAGTTGTGTTATCCCATAAAAAGTTCTTACTTATATTGGGCAACATGGAATTACACAGCCAAGTCATCACCATGTAGTTCTCCTGTACCCACCGGGAATGGTTAGTTTCAGGTTTCTTTTCCTCACCGGTGACATACCCCAATTTCCCACGAGCACCAATGGCCATCATTGCAGATTGTGACCATTCTAAGTAGTTTGTACCATCCAACTTGACTATAGTGATTCCGGTCCTAAAGAGGTCTCCAACACCTCCTCCCCCAAATCCCATTTCTCCTATAAATTTGTTTTCAACTCCACAGCCTTCCATAACTCCCAGAGTAGATTAGGAAATCAATTTGAGATGAAAAGAAAGGTATTTATCTCCTTTGGAAACCTAAAACACCCTCCTGGAACCCTATAATCCCCTCCCTCCAATGATTCCTTTTTCCGTAAGAGTGGAAGAAGAGAGAGAAGAGGTTGTCGTACCCTCCAGAGACCTCCAAAAAGGTTGGGACTTGAAACACCCCCTTCAAAAAACCTCAAGGAACCCTAGAAAACTAGAGCACCACTTCTTACGTCAAAATTGAAAGTCCTACTAAAATAGAACTCTCCCCCTTTCTTTAGTTCTTCCTGATTTTAGTGTAAAACCCTAGACCAGCTACAAGGGATTGCAATTCCACCAAAAAATCCAAAAACTAGGCTTACCTGAAGTCTTCGATTAGCCCTTTACCTTATCATGCAGTCAGCCGATCTAGGGCTGCATGATGGAGCAGCTCAATAAATCTTTAAACTTGCTCTGATATCAAGTAGAAAAGTTTGGACAACCTGTTTTGATATAAAAACTATAAAAGAAAGAAGAAAAGAAAGAGAAGAAAAGGTTTCAGCTGAGAAAGAGAGAGAAGAGAGATAGAAGAGAATGGGAGAAACTCAGAATTAGATCTAGTCGCCCCTTTCATTAGATTATATACTCATAAATAAAAGAGAGTACAAAGACAAGTATGCCCTTAGTAAGTTGGCTACTTGTGAGAACTTGAAAACACTCTTAACTTAAAACATAAACTAATGGGCCTAAGGCCCAATAACTCCCTAACTATGCTATGCAAATAAGAAACATGTTATATCAGCCCAAAACTCAACAAGGTCCAACCCAAAACCGGGTCCATTGACACCCCTAGTTGTTGATGGTCTTCTATGCACATGACCAAACCATCTTAGTCTATTTTCTCTCATTTTATCACCTATTGTAGTTAAGTCCCTACTTACGACTTTCTTTGTGATCCTATCCTTTCTATTTTTCCTGCTCATCCATATTAACATACAAATATGTTCATGACAATTCAGCAAAAGTTTTAGTGTCGGCTGCCAACCTGACGTAACCCTCCTTTATCCGGGATTGGGGCTGGTGGTGTAAGACATGCTCACACTGGCAGAGTTGTAGAGTTACCTTGATGGCATTACAAATTAGTATCACACCCCGCCCCAACATTCCTCAATAATTAAGTTACAGAGTTACCTTGATGACATTACAAATTAGTATCACACCCCAGCCCCAACATTCCCCAGTTATTAAAATAAGGTTGAGTTGGTTAGGAAAGAGATGCAAGAGAATACAAAAAATTGAAGAGAGAAACAGAGATAACTAGAAGGTGCTTTAACAATGCCTTGTACAGGCTTGCAACAAGTACCAATCCTCATAGTGCAACAAGTTCCCCTCCACTTGTATAGCTCAATTTTCCCTCACCATTACATATCCAGCCAAAACCAACAACCTTGTAGGGATTATTTGGCATTTAGGGATCCTTCATGCCAAATGACAAGACATTTTAATTGGCCCTGACCAGGTGACTCATGATAGCAAGCATTCTACCCAGTTTAAGAAATGTGGGGACCATCACCTACTACAGCTACCATTATCTTGTCCAACCATATGTAAAGTTCATGTGCCCATTGACCAGTCTTGGCAAATATTCCAACACCTCCTCTAAACCTCTTTTTTAACTCCTGTAATCAGCACTAAAGTGTTACATGTACATATTCCATATTAGTTATTGAAACAACCCAATAACACATTTACACAAATAGGATTCAGAAGCAACTCTGGACTTGCATAACCATTTTAGGAAAGAGGCCTATAAGTCTATATACTCTGTTTAATTATGCAGGGATCTTTAGAATAACTGTTTGAGCATAAACATCTTCACACCATTATCTCTCTTTGCACAAGGCAGTTATTGAGAATTTCTACGTAAGCTGTTTGGCCCTAGAAAAAATAAATGTAGAGATTCCAAAATTCACTCCACTAATGAAGCTAATTAGAGGTTGTCAACGAAACAAACCCTTTAAGACATCCTTATTATCCAGTATAAAATTATCAGGCAAAGAACCAACTGATGGTGGCTCAGCTCTGGCTAGTTGTAGCAGAGAGTTGGGATCAAATCTTGTTACCACCAGTGCTTGGGGGAAATGGGTATGGGGGACGGGCTACCATGAAGCAACAAAAAAAGGAATCAGGCAAAAAGCATGTTGGGAAAACTTATCTCACCTTAATATCAACAATAAATTATCCATAGCCATAGGACATCACCTCTGATTCATCAAGTGTATTAAACTACTGAACATCACAATTAGACTTATTTGTGCCAACATGGGTAGGGCATTGTCCCTTAATTTTACAATCATAATCATCTCTTCAAAATAGAGCAGAATGAGGAAACAGGATTCATGTAGTCGACCCATATAGTTGGAATAAGGCTTAGATGATGAATAACGGTCTTTGAAAAATAGAAGTCCTTGACAATTTTTCTAAGGATAACCAAATACAATTTGTCTAATGTACCAAAGAAAACCCCTGATCGATAACCAAACCAAATTGCGTTTGCTCTCTAAAATCTATAAAAACGGTAACCAAATTATAGATAGAATAACAGATTTTCCCCAAGGGGATTTAAAAATTTTTATAGTGAATCCACTACTATATTCTTGATTATAACCGCAATAAACCTCGAAACCATCAAAGGTTAAAAGAGTTAGAAGTGAGTTTCAAACACATCAAATTAACTGGGGAACTAATTAGCAGCACTAAATCAGTGGCGATTTGGGACTGGGGCAATTGACAAACATCCTTTTATCAGTCACAGCTTTGAGTACTCAAATGTTTTATGACGAATGGTGAACTTCAGAAGGTTTTACAAGAGATCTTACAAATACAATTTTAATATGTTAGACAAACAAAACCAAAAGTCAGAAGTACGACCAGTGCGCATAACATCCAACTCCTAGTAACAACTTCTAACAGAAACAGTATACCTGTTATGGATTAACTAAGCGTTCCCCTCCCCCGCTACTTCCCGGCTCCTGAATAATCTCAACTGTCAAGAGAAACCGAAATCTGGTCAACCATTAAAAGGTCTTGCGGGAAATACCGATCTTACAGATGGGTTTGCAAAGAAGACAACTGGGTCGGTTGAAAAATCAACGAGAGGAGAGGAAGGAGGGAGGAGGCGATGGGTAATGTGTATGACGTCTGGACCAAGTATTTTAAAAATTCTTTTAAATCCCAGTGGCCCTTGTACTCCCCTTTCTTCGTGGTAAATTTTGTATTTCTAGATGATGGTCAAAACTCGAAAGAACGAAGGATTGGATATTCACGACTAATAAGTCATAAGAGAAAAGGGGGAAAAGGTTGAAATTTTCATTTCCATGCCGACAGATGTAGTTTTGGTGGGTTTTCTGTTTTCTTTTTTGCTGTAATCTTTACTTTTCCCCTCTTTTTTAACTTTTCTGTAAATCTATTTTTTTCTATTTCAACTTTCCTGTAATTTTTCATTACTTGCTGAGTTGCTTCCCAACATAATTTGTCTGGGCAGGGATTGGACTCCAGGCAAGTGGCAACTCGACTGTAAGGCAATTTTTACCATCTTTGTTTTCCTTTTCTTACGTTTTCTTACAAATCAAACAACGTTTTCTTTCAAACCAAACACAGTATAAATGGATCCGCAATAATCTGCCGAAAGTCATCGATACACATGGTAATTGACCCAGCCAGTTCTAAAATGCTCCGAATAGCTGTTTTTGGGTAAACTGAGTTGTTCATACTGTTGTGATTGGTTCTAATTTTCTAGAGGCAAAGCAAAATAATGGAAAAAGGCACACATGATGGAAATGGAGAGGAATTTGGCACGTGAAACACTTGTGTATGTGCAAGCAACCAAACAAAATAAGGGTCTGGATGTAATAGGCACATAAGGTAAGCACAATGAGTGAGAATGTAATAGCTGTGTAAAACATGACCCAGTTAATGTGCCTTTCATCCAAACGGTTTTGTTTCATTAAACAAAAATTATCCATTATTTTATTATCTGTCAAAATAATTAAAAATAAAAAACAATGAAAATAGAAAATGTAAATGAATCTCAACTCCTAACATGTTTAGGTTTTCCTTTTTCATTGTTTTTATTTTCAATTATTTTGACAAAAATAATAAAATAATGGATAATTTGTGTTTAATGAAACAAAAATATTTGGATGAAAGACACATTAACTGGGATATATGTCACACACCTATTACGTGTTCACTCATTGTGCTTACCTAACGTACCTACTACATCCGGGCCCACAAAATAAATTAGAAAAAAAGGGGTTTTATGGTGGAAATAGTGGATAGTAATGTATAATAGTAAATTAGATTATGATATGAAAGATGGATCCAAAGTCTCAGACCAATCCATCAGAGAAAGCCATGTGCAATTAATAATATTGAACGGAAGAAATAGCTTTAACTGAATTTAATTTCTCATGACATGATGGTTTTTTGGTCATCAAACAACTTCAAATCATGTTCTGTTTGGAGGCAATCGACCATCTGAATTTGTTTATGGGGAAGATTCATGTACTTGATACACAAATTTAATAAGAAAAAAAAATTGAACAACCCCCCAACATTCTCAAAAAAATAAAAAAAAACTATAGTTTGAGGACTATAAAAGATTTCAAGAAAAAGTTATAAGATATTATTCTTTGATTGTTTTGTAATGCTTAAATTATTATGAGATATAATAAGTGAAATAAATGATGCAAATATGGATACAAAGGTTGGAACCAACTTTGAGTGCAAAAGTTGCTTCTATTTTTAGGAGTCAAAACTTTGATTTCATTTTAAATACAAAAATAGTCTGAAAAAAAAAAACAAATTTTCTTTTATTTTCAGTACAAAAACATATTCCTACCAAATACCTTAAAAAAACTCAACCGAAATGCAAATTCCACTTAATTCTTCATTTGCGTTCTTACCCAAGGTACACTCTCAAGCTGCCACATGCATAAATTAAGATTGGGACCCACCACTATGGAGGTCCTGCTCTAGACAATCAGAAGAAATTTAGATTTCTACCTAATAGTCAACTACAATCATATACAAAATATTATATTATAAATTATAAGTCATCTTATACTATTTATATATAATGTATCTTCTATGATATATATCAAGCGGATATTTGCCTTGGGCTGCATGCATATATAAAAGTAATTGGGGTGAAGATATATTTAGCAAAGTAATCTCTTAAAACAACATATTATTATTGTCAATACTTACGTGGTGTTTGATAATAATTTTTAGACCTCTGAAGTATGAAAATGTTACTTTTTAGATGCTACCTATGTTGGGTTGAGTCTAAAAATTCAGATTTGAAATATATTTTTAAATCTGAATTTGTAAGAGGTAGGTCAATGACTTAATGCGTTCTGACGTTTTTCAGACCGTGTGAAAAAATAAAAATGTCCATCCTCGATTTCCCTCACCCTCACCTCTCTCTCCTTTGTTTTCCAACCATCACCCTTGCAACTCTCAATAACAATGTTTCCGACCCTCTCCCTCTCTCTCTCCCCTGTATTCTCGCCACCGCCACTACAAAGAGTTGTAGCGACGTCTGATTTTCCACAACCTCTCTCTCTCCCCCCCCCTTGTCTTCTTGTCATCGTCGTTGCAACTCTCAACAATGGCGTCTCTCTCTCTCTCTCCCTGTCTTCTCGCCACCATCGCTACAAAGAGTTGTAGCGGCGTTCGATTTCCCTTTCCCCCCCTCTCTCTCTCCCCTTGTCTTCCCGCCACCACCACTGCAACTCTCAGTAGTGGTGTTTCCCTCTCTCTCTCTCTCTCTCTCTCTCTCTCTCCTATCTTCTCACCACCATCGCTACAAAGAGTCATTCGATTTCCCTCGCCCTCTCTCCCCCTGTCTTTCCATCACCATCGTTGCAACTATCAATAGTGGCGCCAGGGTTCCCTCTCACTCTCCCCTTGTCTTCCCACCACCATCGTTGCAACTATCAACAGCAACGTTCGAATTTTATTCAAATAATTTATTATTATTTTAATTATTAATAATTTATTTTTAGTTTATAAATTTATGCATATTTCCAATTTTATTCTTATTTTAATAAATTATTTTTTATAATTTTTATTTGTATTAGTTATTAATTATTTGAATTTTTAAATTATTAAATAGTTTAATAGGTTTAATTTAATAATTTGATAATTATTAAATATTTTTTCATTGCTTCATGGACTTTATTACTATTTTCTTTATTATTTTAACTTTTAATAATTTATTTTTAATTTATAAATTTATATATATATATTCAAATTTATTCTTAATTTAATATATTTTTTAATTTTTTATAATTTATCATAATTTGTTCATATTTTTCAATATTATTTTGAATTTAATAAATTATATTTTATGAAATAGTACAAATTGAAATCAAAATTACCAAATAGTATGTTTTAGGGATAAAATAGTAAAATTAAGAAATTTCAAATGCTAAAGGCTTGATCCAACACAAACAACTTTTTCTGTGAGAGCCTCTAAAAAGTCAAAAAGCATTTGTTTCTTTTCAGATTTTAGATGCCATTAATATCTTTTTAACTTTTCAGATTTCAGTTTTATCAAATGCCACCTTAGTACAAATGGACCCTTATACTGGTTTGTCCTATAACTCATCAAATGAGCCCAAAGGAAGGTACCAAATATCGAATTGATCCAACCATGGAGAGTAGTAATTGCAGTTGTACCAACAAAGCATAAAGCTTTTGTAATCATGTTGTGACAATGTTTTTTTCTTTTTTTTTTTTTTGACAAAAGGGGCTACACAGCATGAGGGGTAGCATGTCCCCAGAAATCCAAACAATTTAAAATTGATAAAGCTCTAGGTAATGAATCTAAGCAAATTGGAGAACTATGGGTCTGATTTGCTAACCAATTTATGGCTTTTTTGGCTTCTCTGAAAACATGATGATAATCTAGATCTCCATCGAAACTTGGCCCTGTCCTTCTGCATTTTTCAATGATTGACTTCAGTCTCCACGGGGCTTGATTCCTCTGTTGAGGCAATCGATGACAAGCTTGGAATCTCCTTCTATGAAAACAGACTTATTGGTGAAATGTCTAGCTAAATTATGGGCGTCCCAAGAAGTCCAAGCTTTAGCTAGACTAATGGTGGTTGTGCCAATGCTATAGGCTTTTAAATCGATAATCTTTCCTAAGTGGTCCCTTGCAATACACCCAATAGTACACTTACCATTCACATAGGATGCATCAAAATTTATTTTAATGGCATTTAAGGAAGGCCTCAACAATCCGATTGGTAACCATGTTTTCTGTCTTCTTCCTTTTTCAAAAAAACAAGATTTTACTTCCCTAAATGAATTCAGGGTGGTTGGCGGCAAGCTTTTATTATTAGAAGTCTTCTCATTTTGGTTCTTCCATATATGCCATAAAAGGATGGTGAATTTTTCCTTTATATCCGGATCAAGGCCAGGATTTCCATCATATGATCAGATAGAATACTCTAGGAAACCCGAATTGAGATGTTAAAGTCATTAGCTAAATTGAATGTGTTCTGGGTTACCGACTAAACTTGTTTTGTATGGTTGCATTTTACAAAAATATGGTTAACATCTTCCTCTTCCCCACATAAGCTAACATCTTCCCCTAGACAAAAGAAGACTTTTTGTTGGGAGTCTGTTATTTAGGAGGAGGTGCATGAACATTTTATATTTGGGAGGGATGTTAAGTTTCAAAACTCTTGCTAATTCATCAATAAGCTAGGGGGATTGCCATTAAAAGAACTAGCCTTAATGTACGCTGATTTAAAAGAGAATTTTCCATTTGTATAACGTGAATAAGATGCAAAAAGAGGAAGAATAATGAATAAAGTAGAAAGGAAATCTTTATGGATGAATAGGGAGATGAGGTCAGAGCTCCGAGGGAATAATCAGAGCACTAATATGTCTTAGTTGTATAGAGTCAGTTTCACATACACATTTATCAAGAATTCCAAAATGTTCGTTAGTTGATTACAGGTTTGAATCTTGAAGCCGTATTGATATGGTGACATGTGTCAAGCTGCAATTCATGGAGCAGATGCGCTTTATTCCATATTTGCAAGTTCCACATTCTGTGGTACTTAACGGTCGTTGCAGCTTGTTTGTTCCTGTAATGGGAACAATTCACAGACTCACTTTTTGGCAAATCTATAGTTTGTTCATTTCTTTTGCTTTGTCTTTAGTGCATGTGTCTGTGGGCTCTCATTTTCCCAAGTTAATCAAGGGTCTCTCCTCTTTTGGTACTTCGGCGGACTCGGTTAGTCTGGTTTCAATCGCTAGTCCATGGTACTACTTAGGTCGATCCCCTATTCTAATTT